CAGCTCTTTCTCAGCAGTTAGAATTATTTTACTTCTTACTTCCTTGTTCTGAATATTCTTCTTTGGTCTGGGGGACTTGGTTTGAATCCACTTTAACCTGGGGGGCTTTAGTTTGATTCCATCATTGTTCTAGTCAGCTAAATAGATTCGGCTGATTCAGAACTTTTTAAGTCTGAAAGGTGTTTTCCCAGTGACCATGAACTCTGTAAACTCTCAGTGAATTAAAGAGAGAGTGGCTTATTTCACAGTATGTAGAAAGAAACCTACAGTTAGCATGTGGGCACTGATAGATAAAGTAGCCTATGGATGAATCCAGTTGATCCAGAGAAAGTGTTATGCCCAGATCTTGCGACCCCCCCAATGACCACCAAGGAGTCTGGAGTGTATGCAACAGCAAAGAGCCTTTATTCGGGCTTAAGCTCGGGCCCTCAGAGTTCACCAATGCAGCGCATCTGTACTGAGAACCCCGAACCAGGGTGGGGCAAGCTTTTTATAGGGAGTTTTGCTGAATCCCACGTGTGAGCGCCAGATGCACTTTAAAATGATTGGATGGTCCTATATTCTGAGTACGGGGAGGATTCTTATTGGTAGGGGCATCTTTAGGGCATTGGAATGTGCTGACTGTTATCTGTAAGGCCAGAAGTTTCTGTTTCTATCTTATAAGGCTTTACATGCCTGGGCTTGCTTAATCTGTAGCTTTGGTGGGGGGGGTAGCAACTGGAGATTTACAACATACCTGGGCTTGTCCCGGCTTGCCTGAAACAGCTAGCCAAAATGGAGTCAGTGTATTCTGACTCTTGCATTTTGACTCTTCATTCCCTCCTATAGTTATGGCAGGGGTTAAATCTTTAAGGCAAGCAAATTACAGAAGCAGAAAGAAGTGGTTAGATGAGTCAGAGTCCCACATTTCCCCCTCTTCTAGTAACTAGGAATGACCAAATCATGGGTCTGGGTGTGGATCACTAGTCAGACGTGGGTGTGATGAATCCAGGTGGCAACTCCGTCTACCTTTACAGCAGCCGGGGTTGTCAGGAGCACCACATACAGTCCTTTCCAGTGAGGTTCTAGGGTCTCTCAGAGGTATCTGTGAATGTAGACCCAATCGCCAGGCTGGTAGTTGTGTGGGGTAGGAGAAGGAGCAGTCTCATAAATGACTTTCAGACGGGGCCACACATCCTTGTGGGCATGTGCCACGGCCTCAAGAGAATCAAGCAATTGATGGTTATCAAACTCAGCAAGCAATTCAGCTTTTAAATTGGGGAGGATGGGAGTTAAACCCAACAGATAGGGGGAGTTCCGTAACCCTGCCAGTCTCTATGGTTAATTTAGTAAGGGCCTCTTTTAGGGTTCTATTCATCCTCTCTACCTGTCCAGAACTCTGGGGCCAGTAGGCACAATGTAATTTCCATTTTGCCCCCAGTGCTTTTGCTAACTCTTGTGTTACCTGAGAGGTGAATGCTGGTCCATTGTCTGAGCTCAGAAGAGCCGGAATACCATACCTTGGAAGAATGTCTTCCAGAGTTCGAGGCCAGCCTGGCCTATGCATTTGGAGGCAATTGAATCAACATGTGATTGGAGGTCCAGAACCTTGAGGTGAGCGTTTCTTAGGCGATCTTCTGTCTTTCGAGTACCCAGGTGGGTGGTCCGATGGATGTGACTGAGAAGGTCTTTGGCTAAGTTACTTGGCAGGATAATCCTGCAGTCTCCTGTATGCCACCAGGTGTCAATCTTTTGGGTCATTGGAAATTTGTATATCAGCCTCAAGTCATCCTGAGAGTAATCAGGTTGGTCTGGTAGCATGGGTGGCCCTGGGTCCAGCAGATGGACAGCCAGGATTGGGGAGGCTTTCAGGGCCATGTCCTTGGCAACCTGGTCTGCTTTCTGGTTTCCCCAGGCTATAGGTGTATCTGTCTTCTGGTGCCTGGGGCAATGGATGATAGTTTCTTCGGTAGCCACAGGGCAGCCAGTAAGTCTAGGATTCCCTGTTTATTTTTAATAGTCTTTCCCTCAGTTATGAGCAGCCCCCTCTCATGGTAGATGGCCCCATGTACATGGGCTGTGGCAAAGGCATACCTGCTATCCGTATACACATTCAATTTTATGTCCTTGCCTGATTTAAGAGCCTCGGTCAAGGCTATCAGCTCAGCCATCTGGGCTGAAGTCCCCACAGGTAGAGCCGCTGCCCAGACTGTTTTGGTCTCTGTTACTACTGCTGCCTCTGTGTACCTCTGTCCATTCTGTACAAAACTGCTCCCACCAGTAAACCAAGTGGCTTCTGCATCAGGAAGCGGCTGATCAGTCAGGTCTTTTCTGAGTCCGTGTACTTGGCTCAAGATACCCACGCAATCGTGCAAGGGTGTGTCCAGGTCCAGATCGGGCAGCAGAGTGGCTGGATTGAGGTCTGTGCTTGGGAGGAAATGAATCCTAAGGGGATTAAGAAGCAAGCTTTGATAGTGAGTCATTTGGGCATTGCTCAACCAGCGGTCGGGTGGCTGCTTGAGAACTCCCTCAATGGCATGAGGAGTTGTGATACATAATTCTTGTGCTAAGGTTAACTTGTCTGCATCTTTGACTAGAAGAGCTGTGGCTGCTATAATTCGCAAACATGGTGGCCACCCAGTGGCTACCAGGTCCAGTTTTTTTGACAGATATGCCACTGGCCTATTCCAGGGCCCCAGAGTCTGAGTTAGGACTCCTTTTGCCACCCCCTTCTTTTCATCTAGAAAAGATGAAAAGGGTTAGTAACATCCAAAAGTCCTAGCAGCTAGGAGGGCCTGTTTGATATTACTGAAGGCCTCTTCCTGGACCTCCATCCAAATGAAGGGCTTACTTTCCCATGTGACTTCATAGAGGGGCCTTGCCAATTCAGCAAATCCTGGGATCCACAAGTACAGCCAGGACTAAGTTTGCTTTCAGGGCCATCCCCTTTGCAACCTGGTCTGCCTTCTGGTTTCCTCAGGCTATAGGCATATCTGTCTTTTGGTGCCAGGGCAATGAATGATAGCCAGTTTCTTGGGTAGCCATAGGGCAGCCAGTAAGTCTAGGATTTCTTGTTTATTTTTAATAGTCTTTCCCTCAGCTGTGAGCATCCCCCTGTCCTGGTAGATGGCCCCATGTACATGGGCTGTGGCAAAGGCATACCGGCTATCCGTATCCCTGTTGACACTGCGAGGCGTCATCAGCAGCTATCAGGATGTCATCCACATATTGTAATAGGGTGAGCTGGGGGTGTTCCAGCTGGTACTCACCCAGGTCTTCATGGAGAGCCTCATCAAACAGGATGGGCAATTTTTGAATACCTGTGACAGGCGGGTCCAAGTCAGCTGCCCATTGAAGCTGATCTCCTGGTCTTGCCATTTGAAAGCAAAGAAGGGCTGGCTCTCTTTGGCCAGAGGCAGGCTAAAGAAGGCATCTTTCAAGTCTAACACTGTGTACCAGTTTCTGTAAGGTTGCAAGGAACTCAGGAGAGTGTAAGGATTAGGTACTGTTGGATAAACATCCATAACCCTCTTGTTTACCTCTCTCAAGTCCTGGACCGGCCGATAGTAGAGGCCAGTTTTTAATGTAACCTAAACTCATCTTCTAGTTGTAGGGTGAGTACTTGGATTGGGTGGCCTTCTTGATCAGTCATTTGGGCCCCACTAGGGGTGAAGTGAATGTGGGCATTCATTTCTCTGAGCTCAAGGATTTGTACCCCTCCTTGGGCCCTGCCTCCCCCAGCAGGTTTTTCTGGACAATCTTTTATCCAGTGGCCCATCTTTTTGCAATAGGCACATTGGTTCTTCTGTAACCTCGGTTGCCCTTCCTGGGGTTTCCTACCTCAGTCTGCAGAGAGGTAGCACAGTTGACGTTCCCACTCATCAGGTGACCTTGCGGTCATAGCCAGAAGGATCTTAGCAAAGTCTCGGGTCTTCTTGGTGCTAGCAGTGGCTGCGGCTAGAGCTTGTTTGTCTTCCAGACGTTCTTTGTGGTTATAGACCCTCTCTGCCACTGCCAACAGCTCCAGCAGAGTCCTATCTGCCAATCTATCTAGTTTCTGTAATTTGTGTCTAATGTCATGCACTGACTGATTGACAAAGGCCAATACAACCGCATTCTTGTTTTCTGGTGCCTTTGGATTCATAGGTGTATAAGGGTGGAATGCCTCAAGGATCCTTTCTAAAAAGGCTGCCAGGGATTCTGTTTTTTCTTGCTGCACATTACTAATCTTAGCCAAATTAGTTGGGCACCTTGCAGTGGCCCAGAGACCCTCCATTAGAGTCTGGCGGTAGATCCAGAGCCTCGCCTTACCTTCTGCCACATTGAAGGCCCGGTTTTGTCGGGCTAGTGGGAAGGCTTCATTGATCAGTGCCTGGTTGGTGGTGGGATTCCCATCCACCCTGGGGACCAGCTTGTGGGCCTCAGTTTGGACCCAGTCCCTTTCCTTGGTGGTAAATAGAACCTGTAATAGCTGCTGGATGTTGTCCCAAGTGGGCTGATGGGTGAAAAGAACAGATTCTAACAGATCAATAAGGTCCTGTGGTTTCTGAGAATTTGGCTGTTTGCAATTTCCAATTGTAGAGATCACTGGTGGCAAATGGCCAATACTGCATCTGTTGATCTCCTGCCTCATTAAAGGGTCCCACTGCCCTTAAGGGACGGACAGTGGAGTCTGATGCTGCTCACAGCTGTCCTCTCTGGACCCTCCTCCAAATTTGGGGAGGGCTTTCAGCCCCAGGGGCCTGGGCCACCTCAGCCTCTCCTGGGGGCTCTGAATGCTCTGGTTGTACCGGCGGTTGGGCAAGTATGGGGGAGGCTCAAGCAGAAGTTCTTCCTCCAAACCACCCTGGAGGACAGGATAAAGTGGGGTGGATGGTTTTGTTTCACTTTTCTGCCACTCACCATCACGCAGGGTGAGGATGGTTGTCTTTGAACCCTGAGGCGGCAAAAATGGTTTGAGCCGTTTGGGGGGTCTTCAGGATCTGCCAGGTTGCAGTGTAAGGAACCTGGTTGGGGTGTCCTGGTCGCCTGAAAATGATGTTTTTAGCCTTGTAAATAGTTGAGAGGTCAAATGTTCCCTTGTCCAGCCATCCAACATTGAAGGTTGGCCATTCATTCCTGCAAAAGATAAAGAGTTTTCCTTTCTTGACTTCCAACCCTTGTCCTCTAGCCTTCTTTTTGAAGTCAGAAAAATGGTCCTGGAAAAGACTTAAGGGTGTTACTTGACTTTGTCCCGTGTCTATAACTAAGTAAGTCACAAATAACATGGACAATACAAAGACACACAATGACAAGTGCCTTAAACAAGAACTGAAAGTGGGACGTCGGCCTCTTGCTGTTCCGCGGGCACGACCTGCCTCGCCCCTTCATAATTACAAGCAGGATCCAATCCCTATCAGGTGGGTCTAGGACATCTTCCAAGTCCCACAGCCTGGGGTCTTCCAGTGTGTCCGCCTAGACTGCCAACGGGCTAACAAGGTAACGGGGGGCCCAAATTCAAGAGCGCGCAAAACAAACAAGGAGACAAAGATACTTACCGGCCGGACCAGGCTCAACACTCCAGGGGTCCTGTGGGGTCTTGGGGATCCTGGGACGAGCCCCCAAATATTATGCCCAGATCTTGCAACCCTCAATGTCCACCAAGGAGTCTGGAGTGTATGCAACAGCAAAAAGCCTTTATTTGGGCTTAAGCTTGGGCCCTCAGACTTCACTGATGCAGTGGATCTGTACTGAGAGCCCCAAACCAGGGTGGGGAAAGCTTTTTATAGGGAGTTTTGCTGAAGCCCATGTGTGCACACCAGATGCACTTTAAAATGATTGGATGGCCCTATGTTCTGAGTACAGGGAGGATTCTTATTGGTAGGGGCTGTTTTTAGGGCATTGGAATGTGCTGTTATCTGTAGGGCCAGAAGTTTCTGTTTCTACCATATAAGGCTTTTACATGCCCAGGCTTGCTTAATCTATGACTTTCTGGGGGTTGGGGGGGAGGTAGCAACTGGAGATTTACAACATGCCTGGGCTTGTCCCGGCTTGCCTGAAACAGCTAGCCAAAATGGAGTCAGTGTATTCTGACTCTTGCATTTTGACTCTTCAAAAGCACCAGGATGCAGATAAAACTCCATTGGAACAGAGTTTGTTAAGCAAAGGAACACATGGGACAGATTCCATTCTAGGCAGGGAAAATGTCTTCCTGGGTCATGAGCTGGGGTCTTTTAAAGGAGGAGGCTTCTGGGAGGATGCAAAAGGCAGAAAGATATGTATGTTTTTAAGTTGGGGGGGCAGTGGGAGAGCAGGACTGTTAAAACCTGCCCTCTTTAGAGCTCAAAGGGGAAGCCTGCTGTGTTGGCCAAACAGTGATGAAAAGTCTACTTCTCTTGACTTCAAAGACCAGGGTGCTTATCAACCCTTCTCTCAGGGGCTTGTGAGGTCCATGAGGCCCTGTTGGTGAGGGGGCGGGGCTATCTGAACCTTCACAGGCATGAGCTTCATCCATTCTCCTGAGGTGCCTCCAAGCCTTCATGTTGTTACCTCATAGTTGGATGATGAGTGCTTCCTTCTCAGCAGGAACAAGAGAAGGGCAAAAATGCAAAGAACATTCTGTTAGTGAGGTCTTGCCTTTTCATTTTGAGGATGAATATCTCTCAGAGATTTCCATATAAAGCTTTCTGGCCAGCCCTGGGTTGCATTGTATACCTAGCTAAGAAGGAAGTTGAGGATCTAGTCATTTTAGCTGGACGCTTTGCTTCCCCAGCCAGGGAAGGGAAGGGAAGCAGGGGATCAAGCAGACAATAGGCAGAGTTGGCTTTACTAAAAATTTTTGGCATTTGAGAGTGTGGGACTTCAGTGTATAGCCAGAGTCTAAAAGTCATAAAAGGAGAAGGGGGTTTGTGGATGAGAGAATAGAATATATTAAGAGAGCAAAAGCTTTCCCACAGTGTAACCAGAGACTTACAAAAGGGAGACGGGAAATGACTGTTGCCAGTTACAGTTGACATGGTAAGAAATAAATAAGATCAAGGTAAATATTAGTCCTGTAACAAGGGAACTGAAGAGAAAGACAAGCAGAGAGTTTAGAATGTTTTTGACAGAAAAGATTTCATTTCTTACATATGAGCTGGGGGAAGAGCGAGGGGACAACTGTCTGACTTACTAGAAGCCCATAGCTCTTAAATACCCCAAATGCAGACGGAACTTCTGAATTCAGACTTCAGTAATTGAATGGTACAGGACTGCTGGTAGAGCTACTCCAGAAGACGAGGCTGAAGAATCTTGAAGTCGATGTCTGTCTGGATTACAAAGTGGGTTGAAGGCACCCTAAGACAGTGAGACTGTCTTAAAATAAAAAAAATAAAAGGATAGGGATATAGTTCAGTGGTAGAATGTTTGTCTAGCATGTAGTACTCTTGGGGTTTTACTCCCAGCAACACACACACACACACACACACACACACACACACACACACACACACACAAACAGGGGTTAGTGATTAAAGCTCTACATTTGAACTCCTTTTCTCCCCCTTAATTCCTGTCAGTACATTTTATGCTTGTTTGATTGGAAAGGACAGGAAGCTGTTGAAGTTGATTCCTTCATACTTGATCAGGAAGCCAGTGTCGCTGGTGTACAAGGAAGAGGGCAAGGAGCTCAAGTCAGTCTTCAAATGAGGTCCTGTGAGACACACAAGTGCAAATGATGCCTAACAGACCTAAGGATAGTAGGTGAGAGGTGGAAAAGTTTGGGGCTAGAGATCAGATTGAGAAGTCATCAGATTGACTGGGTAAGATGTTAAAAGTATGAAATAGTGATCAAGAGCTGTCCAGAGAACATTCCTTCCATTGAGTCAAATTCTGCCTTTCTGTGTCTGAAATGGTCACTCCCTTCTCATGACTTTCTCTTGGGAGTTCCTATCTACCCCATTCACATTATGCTTGCCAGGACTTCTTAGCATAATTGTAGATTCCTTTCTCTCCACATCAGGCTAGCTCTGTCCTTGGGTGTGACCTTGATACTTCAAGAGCAAGCATACACATAGCCCTTGACCCCCCTTTCTTGAGTTTTTACTCCTCTTAACCGTATCTGAGGTTTGTCTTTCAGAAGGAGCATGTGGTGGAAAAAGATGGAATTCTAGAAGCCTGGAAATAAGAAGACATGGATCCCTCCAGGATGTTTTGAAGAGCCTTATCAGATAGTGAGTCAAGGCTCAGAAATAGAGGCCAGATAGAAGATCAGTCACCAGAATGCAAGATAGACTCAGTGTGAGGAAGTTGTGTGAACTAGAAAGGACCATCTGCAGAGGGTGGCTGTGACTTAGGTGATCTCTGGGTTTTGGGACGCTCCAGTACCCTGCTTTCCAGGTTAGAACAAAGAGGGATATGACATGATTTTAAGCTCTGCCACAATGTGGTTTGGGAGGCAGAGGAAAGGAAGTATATCTGGTATCCATGTGAAGATTGTTCTGGAACTTGGGGCAAGATGGAGACATGGCTGGTCATGGGGGAGGACAGGTCAAGGGATGAGGTTCTAACCTTTTCTGCAGCTGTTTTCTTTTCTCTCATGGCCCCTTTGGCCCTCTGCCTTGTCTAGCTACTGCTGTTGTTTTTCTGTGTCTCTGGCATCTTCTTCTGGAGTTTTCCTCATGAAGCTTGATCTATCAGAAATCACAGACCTTTGCCCCCTGTCCCCCGAGGAAAAATCAAGCTCCCCTTTTTTTGTAAATACTAAAAATTTGGGAAAGAGGGCATTTGAGCAACTTGCTTAGGACTTATTTAGTGGGGTTATTTTGTGGCCCCCACTTTTTGGAATAAATAGCTTGGAAAGATGTAAATAAGGCAAGGATCAAACAGATCATTTTATTTGGGGGCAGAATGTGAACCCAGGAAAGTGCATCATTGCAAGAAACAGAAAAAGAGAAGAAACAGAGCTATTGGGAGAATAATGCTAGGTGAGGATGAGGCAGAAGGAGAGATGGCACATCTGCAAAACAAGGAGCAGAGGGGTGTGCTGGATACCACCAGGAGCCAGGAGAGAGGTGTAGAGGAGACACTTTCTTAGAGCTTCCAAAACAACCAGTCCTGCTCACACCTCTACTTCAGTCTTTGAGCCTTCAAGATTATGGGCAAAAGTCAATTTCAGATGTTTTAAGCGACACTGCTTCTTACAATAGGCTGTGGAAAGGAACACAGGACTGTACCTGAAAATTCTTGATCAGCCATTTGGTCTGTAAGTCATCTGACACTATTAATAAGGGGGCGTTGTGGACCCCCCTGCCCTGCTACATTATTTATTCCGAGTTTCAGTGTTAGCTGCCGGTTTACTTTTTGATGTTTCAGCTCTAGGAAGATTTGAAAATGGATATCCTGATGGTCAACCCTAACAGCCCAAAGGAGGCATATACTCAGATGGGGCTTCTGGAAAAGTACCCATTACAGAGGGTCATATATAACTTACTATTTCAAAGCATTCTCCCATGTATTATTGTGTTCTCAGAGCAATTCAACAAGGAGGGAGGTCAAGAGCAGCTACTTATTTTACCCAGGAGAAAATTGAAGCCTAGGGGAGTTGAGCAATTTTACTCAGCCCATTATTTGCTAATATATTATGACAGTATTGGAAGTGGACCAAGCTTTTCCTTGCAGTAACCAGGAATGCATTTCGCAATAAGTATCAGAGTTGTTGACTAGAGGAGTTTCATAGGCTTTCTATATCTAACACAATAATCACAGAGGTCAGAGAGGGGCTGATATACAGCCTGACCATGTTGGAGGATGGGAACCGGCTGTCTTCCCACTGTACCAAGCTTGGCACTCATACTTGGCACCTTCTGTTTTCTAGTATGACTGCTGCACGATTGAACTACCCAGTAGGGAGAATAGGAAGTGGTGGTGGTGGGGAAGAGTAGGATCAAGGGGAGAGCAGAGAAAAGAGCTTTTCTCTTAAGAAGAGCCTGCGCCTTGTGCCAGAAGGGAACTCTTCTGTATGTCACCAGCCTGAAATGGCCCCATGGCAAATTGTTTACGTGATGAGGAAAGTTGAGAAGGGAGTGCTGGATACTGGAAGTTGATTAGCCACACTGGTTCAGCCCTGCTCCAAGTACTTGACTAAATAAGGAAAATGAAGTTCCAAATCAAGGAATGTTGGGAATGCCTCCCACATGGGAATTTGAAGTATATAACCCACGAGGGTAAGAATTTCAGTCTTTGTTCCCTAAACTCTGGTTAAGCTGGTATCATTGAATTCATTCATCTATTCATTGATTCATTCACTATTTTCTTCTTTTAAAAAGTAAAGTTCATTGAGTATATTTGAAATTTATAACATGATGTCATGAGATTCATGACCCATGTAGGTCGTAAAGTAGTTACTATAGTGAAATAGATTGGTAAGTCTACCACCTTACATAGTTACATTTTTTTGTGGCAAGAGCAGATAGTCTACTTATTAGAAATCACTAATATAATTTTCTTAAATTTAGTCTTCCTGGTATACGTTAGATCTCAAGACTTGTTCGTCCTTTACCTCTACTTTGTTTTTTGTTTTGTTTTTGTTTGGGTTTTTTGAGATAGGGTTTCACTCTGAGGACTGGGGACTCGCTGAATAGCCCAGGTTGGCTTCAAATTCATAACAATCCTCCTGTCTCAAACTTCTGAGCCCCACCACACCTGGATTGCTAGTTTATATTTTGTATTCTTGAATCTACATCTTGCA